GTTGAGCTGAAGTTTCTATCAATGAAAACTCTGCTCCTGCTTGCACTTGCCTCCATCAAGAGGGTAGGGGATCTGCACACATTTTTGGTCAACGAATCGTGCCTAGAGTTTGGGCCGGCTGACTCCCAAGTAATCCTGAGGCCCCGGCTCGGCTATGTGCCCAAGGTTCCCACTATTCCTTTCAGAGATCAGGTGGTGTGCCTGCAAGCGCTGCTCCCGGAGGAGGCAGACCCAGCCCTAGCTTTGCTTTGTCCCATCTGAGCCCTGAGATGGTACGTAGACAAAGCTTCAGGACTTCAGATCAGCTCTTTGTCTGTTATGGAGGCCGGCAGAGGGAGAAGGTCGTCTCCAAGCAGAGGATGGCCAACTGGATAGTGGATGCCATCACCCTGGTTTATCAGGCACAGGGTGTGCCCTGCCCGTTCAGGTTGCGAGCTCACTCTTCTAGAAGTGTTGCATCCTCGCTGACAGATATTTGTAGAGCTGTGGGCTGGGAGACCCCCAACACGTTTGCTAGATTCTATAGCCTTCGTATGGAGCCGGTATCCTCCTGTGTTCTCAGCTCAAACGGGTAGAAGCACTGAGAGGCCCCGGTTAGTGTCGACTTGCTATAACTGTTCCAGAGTGTTCATACTGTAGACCCTGTTGAGCTCCTCCTAGGGCTGCACGATTAATTGAAAGCGATTGTCATGCGCATTTTGTTAAAAAATCTGATTCTGTAATCAGCCGTAAATCATCATCACGTGGTTTCAGATGAAGCAGAATTTACTACACATAGCCATAATTCACTAACAAGTTACGCTAAAAAAATCGCAGACAATTTAATTGCGCGATTCTGAAATCGAAGAAATCGTTTGCGATAATGACAGCTGTTTGCATAGCTTCTCAGTGAACTACGGCTCTGTGAATTAAATGCTGCTCCATCTGAAAGCATGTGAAAATACCACATTTAATAACATATTTTTACTCCAAACTCACTTCATAACGTCAGTCGAGTATTTGAAATAAATCCTTCTGTGAGATGATGTGGCTTCTTACACAGAATAAGGCACGCAACATATTTCATTGTATTTAAGCAGTGATAAAGGCATTGCATTATAAATATACTTTATTTTAATGAAAATTATAATAATAGGAACTCAGATAAACCGTATATTGCCGTAGTTGTGTGTTTATTAGTCACGTTGAATCAATGAAAGCAGTTGAATCTTCTGTTTATTCAGCTGCAGCGATAAACCCTGTTTATTTTCTGGGTTTCTTCTGCGAGGCGTATTTGGAGTTTCAGCGCGAGAGCGCCCTCTGGCCTTTGGATGGAGATTTACTGCTGATCACAGAACCGTGCTTCACTGAAAGATACTCATGACAATCGCAGCTTCTGTTGAATCGCGATCTCAATTCCATTTCGATTTATCGTGCAGCCCTAGCTCCTCCATCCCCTCGGCAGCCAGACGTGGCGGAATGTCCGGCGCCAGGACCTCATTCGATTAATCCGTGAGAACCAGTAGAGGGCTGGGTTCCATATGTAGAGACCTAAGTGGATCCCATATGTGTAAAGTCCACAGTATAGCCTCAGAGCCTGTGTTTCCCCGGCAGACTCTCTGCCATTTTCCAAGAGGGTTACAAGCACCTCTAATCTACTCTATGCACCTAAACGGTTGTTCATATGTGTAAGTGCTTCCGGGAACGATGGGGCTTCCACAACGTTCCTGTTCCAAGTGGAATGGGTATGTTTACCCAGTGTTATCCAATCTCACTGAGTGGGTAGTGCTACGACAACAGTGATTGACCTTCTTGTTGTGAGCCCTGGTCTACACCAAAAAGGGGCGCAGGAGGCTCGCACAGGACACTGGAAGGGGTAACATCCATGGCGCTTTGGTAGGGATCCCAATTCGTTGTTCATTACCAACGTGACATCGAGAGTGACCGACTGAAAGGGAACGTCTCGGTTATGTATGTAACCCTCTTTCCCTGAAGGAATCACATCACGTCTCGTTGCCACGGCTGCTGTTCCACTGCTGAGCGGCCAGATCACTGGCTTGGCTCCTCAGTGAAAACCTGAGTATGCGTTGCACCTGCTGCCTAATTATACTCGCACTGCAATCAGCGGCTGCTGGATGCAATCATTGCATGCCAATGTGCATTGGCTCATT